ATGGTTGCTATGAACTATCCTATACATTTACACACTACCTCTGATATCATAAGAGCACTAGAGCAGCGTAGGGCTGTACTGCATCAATCACAAATTTGTAACCAACTGAAAGTTGGCATTTATTTAAATTATTACTATTGGCTATTATTCTTAGATGAAGAATAACTGAGCGAGTTGGGTAGGTTGGTAGTCTTTCAACTCCATCGAATATTCAGGTCCTTTTCGCGATTTTTTTTTTTTTTTTGCTTTTGATTTTTCGAATTGCTCAGCTTTTTGTAGCGGCTTTCGCCGGCACTAAAAAACGTGACATCCAAACTCACTTTATTTATATCGCACAATCGTAAACTTTGAAAGCGTCGGCATACGCAAAGAGATCGTCCGTCTCTACGGCACAGGCATCAGCACGTGCAAGAAATCATGCTGCTCGCTCTTGTAACGTTTCTCTCGCTCCCGCTTTATGAAACAAATCGTTGGCGAGAGGCTGTTGGGACCACACGTCAGAACTAGCATGACCTGTGATTGCTTGAACTGCCGTCAGACTGCACTTGAACGCTCCGAAAAAGCGTAGGACGGCGCCACCAACAAGCCCTTGGCTGGCCCTCGGTTCCGCCGCACGCGAATATTTCTCACTCTGCGGAGAGAGCTACACATTTTGAAGATACGCTCTTTTCAAATGACGAAACAACACCGGGTAGAGCATAGTTAGAATCAAGCACATAGCTTAGCAAGCACACGGTACACGGCAAAGTTTGAAACAGCGGCGCACTACGCAGAAACACACGAAACTTCCTCACCGGCGCTTGCACCCGTCGGCCATGACTGTCCGCCACTTACTTGCGTTGGTAAGACGCAGCGTCTCCCAGCTCTCAGTAATCGCTTGCTATTCTTGAACACGGTATTCGCAAGATATCTAGAATATCCGCGAAAACGGCTAAAACGTAAAAAGGAAGCTGTGCTCGAAGCCTCCGGAACTCTGACGGACGCTGAACGGAAGCTGATTGCTTTCAGTTTTCAAAAGGCTCTTTTTTTGCTCTTTGTTTTTTTTTTTTGAAGGGAAAACTAAGCAAATCAATATACATTAATAATAATAATGTCACTATTCTAATCTTTTTTTAATTAACAAAAATTCAGTTATTCTTAGATTTTACCTAAACTTTAGGTCTTCTTTTTCAGTGTAAAACCGAAACTATATCAAGCAATTTCTCCCTTGTCGCCAAGGCTATTCTGATTCATCTGCGCATGCTTGCACTCCTAAGATTTCGGCTTGTCTGGAAGGCTCGGCTCTCACGGCAAATAAATAATGAGGGCAACCTCGCATTTCGAAACAATGAACGTGCCCGTTTTTATTTTCTTTTTGGCGAGGGAAAGACACGTAAAATTTACGTCGATTTTTTTACCGCGTGGAACTCTCGATCGACCATGTTGGCGTGTTCGCTGTTGCAAGTGTCAAGTTCTTTTCACGTGCATTGAGATATCTTAGAGTTTTGTAAGATAATTCTACACCATAAAACACTTTCGGTGAAAGCTTGAGGTTGTTACATGAAGGAGCCGATTTCTCCAGCCAATTTCAGAGCGAGCCTCCTTTCATAACATTACTGCGCTTATGCGGTTAAGCTAGAAGTTGATTTGCGCCTCATGAGACTATGCAAGGTGGAGAATCTTATGTCCCCGTTTTTAGCCGTGGTCTTCTTTGCCTCCTGTCCTTTTGCTTGCTGTGGATACAGATATCTGTAACAGCATATATTGAACTGAGACCTGCATTACAAAAACACTGTATCATCCTGCAAATGTTATTTGTCTGCTAAACTATGAGGCAGCACGCAAGTGGCGGTGCACTTTGAAAACAAAGACATGTGCATGCTTCTGCATCAGTGGCATTAAACACTTGGTGCAATTGCCTTCGATCGTCTAGCTTCCAAATAGTGCTAACAGTTTTTTACAGTAAACTTTTATTCTTCAATACAGGTAACAAATACAGTTCAGAGAAAATAAAAGCTGTATTTGCAATAAAAGTAGACTTTATAATTGATAAATATAGTAGAAGTGACTAGCTAAAATAATTATTCACTAGTCAGATAACGCTACTTTCCGTGGCGGAAAGTAGCGAAAGTAGCGGAAAGTAGCACAAATAGAACTAACGTTTCTATTTGTGCTTTTTTAGGGCTATAGTCCATGTTGCATCTGCGACGTAAGTATGCTCTGACGATGCCAGTGCCGGTCATTTCCCCGGGCAACTTTTGGACCACGTGGTCTGCAGTGAAATGAGAAATGAAGCATCCCTTTGTCACATTATGTCAGCTATACCCGATGATATTTTTAATCAACAAGTTTTTATAAAAAAAAGGGGCTCACCGCCACGTTGATCCAGTCTTTAGTGTGTCGTGCGACTCTGCGGACATTACATGGGAGGATAACCGTGGCAAAATTTTTATTAATTAACTGAAATCCGTAAATTACCTTTTTTCAATTGCTGTTTTTATAGAGGCAGTCATTATTAGTGCCTAACGCAATCAAAGCTATTCACGAAACAGTAAGGGGCTTTGAGATATTTATTTACCAAGTTTTGCACTTTCTTCCCCCCATTCAAGAACCACGCGTGGCAGGGGCGGGGAAAGTAAAGAGTGACTTCGCAGTTTTGACATGGCATGTCGGTAATGGCATGCTTGTTTGTGTTAGTGAGTACTTCTCATATTGGAGTTTCATGCATTATCTAATTTTCTAGTAAAGTTACAACCCTTATAAAGTGCTGTCGGATTCAGCGTGAACGAACTTAGATACGTTTGACAGCGTGCCTTTGGTGGATGCTCCAGCATCATACTTCCATCTGAAGCGACTATGTAAGCAAAACGTCTTGCGTTTTGTCCATCGCGCTGTTTTTCAATCAGGCGACGAAAGGCAGACTTTTAACTATGAATAACCCAAATCTCGTTGCCTTTTCGCAAATTGTTTTGGCTGGGTTATAGTTTATTCATTGCCTCTTTAAAATTGAAAATTCAACACGGTCACTTACACTGTCAATTAAAAAAAAGTTAATTAGACCACGTACTGTGACGTTTATTTACTCATCTAATGTCCGCCGAGCCTACAAATATACTGTGAAAACGGCATGGGCCTATCTATCGTGTTTTTAATGTGTTGATCTTAAAAAATCGCACCATATATATATATATATATATATATATATATATATATATATATATATATATATATATATGTGTGTGTGTGTGTGTGTGTGTGTGTGTGTGTGTGCACTTCCTGTATACTGATTTTGAACTATTTTTTACCGCGGGCACTACGATTCTACTACATCTACTAGTTTTGTACGGACGAGTATACTTTCAGTTCACCACCATTTTTGCTGGAAGTATACTTTAAGTACACTTAAAGTATACACTCAGTATGAAGACAACACTGAAAATATGCTTTTAGTATACTTCAGTGCACTTCTAGTATACCGATTTTGAACGACTTTTCACCAACGGTACCCTTACTATCTGCGACTCAAAAGGTGTGCATCCAATCCCAACTCCTCATTTACACAATTTCTCGGCCGGACCGCTGGCGTTTCCGCTGCACGTTTTCCACAAAATCGCGCCTTGGACGCTTGGCGTTGTTGCGTGCTTCCTCTGGCGTGTCGAATGGGAGCATACATCTGGAGCGTTTTCTCAGGCGGTTATTTCGCAAGTGCGCAAAATAAGATATGCCGGGAGTACCCTCGTTGTAATGTTCCATACCCCATATTGTATTAGGGATTCCTCGTAGAACTCCTTACTTTTTAGGAAATTCAGTACACACCTTCTTGCGAGTCCTATTGAAATATTATTCTTGCAAATGCTCTGCTTTATTGCCGTCCGCGCCGAATCTAATTAGTGAGTTCTGCTTACTTTTATGCGCGAATACGTTCACAAGGAAGAGACAGATGTAGTGTTTTGAGCCTTAAATCCAAAAGTATCACGAAAGAAAGCGCAGAACACATTTCTGGGCTTTTCTATTTTTTTGTAAGCACAAGGTTGCAAAGGTTAACAAAGAAGAGCACGCATGCCACATCACGAAAATTCTAAATACATTCCTGTTACTTCTCCTGTAGAGACAAATATAAAGCAGCTCTTGTTGTCCCTCATTGTTTTACATATGATGCATGGAACGCCGTCTTGACTAGGGTTCGATTTGGGTGATGAAAAAGTGAGAGAGTTTTCGGCTGATCATTGCACTTTGCGGCACAGCGTGCGCAAATCAACCAGTGAGATAGTTTTGACTCCTTCGGCAGTACACAATCTGACGATATTTTTGTGAGAGGGTGTCACCAAAATACCCACTGAGAGAGATCTCTCGGCCTTTGGTGCTTGTCCTTAATACTACTGTTTCTACCGGTGGATGCCAGCTTGTGTACGGCAGCCGACGGACTTGAGAATTGCACACAAAGCGCGGGTTGTTCGAGACTTGGAGCGTGAAATAGCGGACTATCCCATTTTCAGCCTGCGTCCGATCTCACTTTTCCGCGGCGTACGGTTTGTAGCAGACGATCAACTTTTTCCCCTGTCTGTCCGCAGACGACGTTCGTTGTTCTCTTTTTTATGTGTGTCTGCTAATGAGAATTCTAAGCAGATATATGTCTTCTAACGCGAGCGATGTGTGCGGTCCGCACACATCGCTCGCGTTAGAAGACGAACCGTCTTCTAACGCTATTTTCGCTCGCTCCAGGAGAAACAAATTATATATTGCCCCCGCTCTCGTATTGACCAAAATCAGAGCCCAGGTGATAGCCCAGGTGGTATGAGATCTGGAATCTACACATCAGTTAAATAAATTAGGTAGCAGACGGAATCCTTCCTCTCTCCCCCCCCCCCCCCCCCCCCCCCCCCGTCCGCCGATAAAGCATCACGGGACATGACCGAAATCGCCACACGTATTCTAAGGAAATATAGGTGGAGACCGGATGCAATTTTAAGACTGAAGAAGTTTCCGCGAAACTAAATATCCGTACTACAAATTTGACTTACCTCGCCGTTCAAAAAGCAGTAGAGCAGCGCCACCACGAACCCCTGTTTCAGAAGACGAAACGAAACATGTCAACTGAAATCTAGACGAAAATGGTCACCCCTTTTCACTATTCCTGCTGATGGAGGCAAGCCTCGTTTACATGTATGGTGAGATCTACTTTGGATTATATTTCTGTTATATGCCATCCGTATAAGGATTACCTTGAAAATATACAAAAGACCTTGAGAATCTGGCCGCACACTTTTGTTTATTAATAACTATTGACCTCACTCTGGCATGTCAACACCCAGGGTGATCTCGGATGGGAAATGATTATAATTAAAGAAGAACTGAGACGTAATTGTTTTATTTTACATTTTACGATAAGGCGCAGGCGAGCTGGTTTACGTTCATGATTTAGAAAACCCTGAGACTGGAAAAAAACAGGAAGGACAAACACGACGAAATCTCTCCTTCTTGTTTTCCCCAGTCTCAAAGTTGTCTTAAATCATAATTTTTTTAACCATCATACCTTTTATATGTAATAAATTCAAAAAAAGTTTATGGGTGTAGTTACAGTATAGACTATTTAGAAAATTCGTTGTTAGGGCGCACAATGATTGGAGCAGCCATCTGGAGCAGTCTGTGCGCATGAAATACAATTAATTTTTTTTCTCACGCTTGTTTAACTGCACAATTTATCCACATTCAATGATGTCCACGAGGCAATTTACAGCATGTAAACTAACGCTCTTAAAGCACACACGCAAAAAAACATTTTTTAATACAGCTTAGATGGGAAAAGAATATCATAAAACGGTTTTACAACGAAGGAAAAAAAAATTTAGAGCTATATTTACGGCGCTATACAAATTTGTAGTTGGCGCCCACGAGAGCCGCCGCTGGTCACGTGGTAGGCCTGTGCGCCGTCGCGCTGCGTCGCCGCCGCCGCAAAGTCACGCCGCCGCCGCACTCTGAGCGTTGTGCGACGCCGCTTCAATGCGTTTCTCCACGTCGCCGTCGTCGCCGCCGCACAAGTTCGTCTGCTTCGGGGCGCCGCCGCCGTCATCTGACCGGCACACACGTCTATCACGTCTGCTTCCGCTTTTTCAGGAGTTTCCTTTGAGCTCTAAAAGTTACTTATTAATCTTAGTTTTATGTTATACTTTAAGCAAAGATGAATAAAAGTTACTTTTATAGGCCATAGGAACCTTCAGAAAGAGCGCAAGCACCACGTGATAAATAAGGGCCAGTCACGTGATAAATAGGGCCCACTTTTCCGCGGCGCTCGCGGGCGCCTACTACAAATTCGTATTGCGCCGTAAATATAGATCTAAACATTTTTTCTTCCTTTTAAAATCGTTTTATGATATCCTTTTTCCAACTAAGCTGTTTAAAAAATGCTTTTCTTCCTTTGCAGCGTATTCCGCTGCACTTTACTACAGAAATGGTAGCAGGTGGTAAAATTTTACAGTGAAAAAATTAAAGAGCAAACTAAGCTCGTTCATAGGAGAAAAAAAAAACAGGAACCAGTTTTGAGCAGTCTACGCTCCCGATTAGCAGACGATTTACGCGTAGTGAGAAGTGCTGCCGACTGGTGGCGTAAGCCGCGTCCAGGTAGCGCCGGCCGATTCGGGTTCTTTCGAGGGATCGTCTACTATCCTAACCAGAATCGGCCGGCGCGCTCTCTGCGCGCCGTACTCCATCTGTCGGCAGCACCAGTCACTACGCGTGCATCGCCTGCGAACTGGCTGCGTAAATTTCCCCCAAAAAGAATTCCTCTTTCTTTTTTTTTTTGTTTGTTTTGTTGAACGCGGCAAGTGTACTCTTTGATTCTTTTTTTTTTTTTTTTCTTTTGGAAAATTTCACAACCGGATTACACTTCTATAGTAAATCGCAGTGCGATACATTGAAAAGCCTTTTTGCGGACCGACTAAATTGCCAATGAAGTGTTAGTTTACAAACTGTAGAATAATCTAAACATAAACGTATTTCCAGGTCACATTAGCTCGCCCGTACAATTATCAGACAAATCTAGAAAGTTATCAACCCAGCATGAAACTCCGGCGCTCCCATTTTGATTTAGAAATATGAGTTAAAAAGAAATCATCGGCAGTTATTATTACCATCGTTGTACAGGCACAATTTCAGACTATTTCTCATTCCATTTTCATCAACAAGTATCTATACATAATTTGTTAATCCGCGAAGGCCTAAAAAAACATAATTTAGGATGTTTAAAAAAAACGCTTTTTAGGGAGGATGACGGCGCACTACTTCTGCGTCATTAAAGTGAACCGACAAGGTTGAGCAAAATATATATATATATATATATATATATATATATATATATATATATATATATCAGTGTGTCGAACCGAAAAAAATACGGGTTCGGTTACGGTTCAGGTTCAGGTGAATTTATTTTGTTCTGGTTCAGTTCTGGTTCGATTAATTCGATCCGCGAACCGGTTCGCGAACCGGTTCGGAAATTATAAATGACAAATTGCAAGATCAAAATAAATTACAAATAAAACATCTGAAATCAGCACATACGAAACGGGATACATCGTAGTGTAAGGCTCAGGGATTTCTACTAGGAATGGTTTCTTTATGTGCACTCAAAGGTTACCTCACCGACGTTTACGCATTCGGACTTCATCTAATTGGGTCCGACGCAGTAGCTGTAAAATCCGCGACCTCCTTACAAACCCACTTACAAGTAGAACTCGCTAACTATCCCGCCACCTCGGCGTGTAAGAAATTGAAGGAACACTGGGGATAAAATACAGCTTTCTTTATTTGAACTAGCCTTCGGTAACTGAAATTAGACCCTTAAAGAAGTTTTCATTAAACAAAATACGGGATATGAAAAACACTTCACCGAATGCAACGCCAGAAGGGCGTAATAGGATAAATATTAAAATAGAAGAGTTCGCTGTCTCACAAATGTGTTAGCTTCTAAGTGCCTATACGAAACCGGATGCATTATTATCAAACTCCACAGCCTTTTCTTTTCTCATTCCGATGGAAGCAAGTTTCAAGAACTCGCGCGTTCTAGAAACGTGTTATGAAATGAGCACAGAGCAGCATTTAGGATTTACGAGATTGTAGGAAAATGAAATCTCGTGACGCAATTTTTTATTTTTTTTTTGCACAGCTTTTCAATTCTTTTTTTTCCGTGCAAGCCGCGACCAGCGCAATACTGGTTCCTATGTCAAGATTCATGGATGCAGCTTTTGTCAAGATTCATGGATGCAGCGTTTATATTCCTAAGACTGAGTGGAGAAGAAAAATATGTAAGCGAGGTGTGTGTCAGTTGACGGCACTTAAAAAACAAATGGCATTGATAGCACATTCATTGTCAACAGCGCGTGGCCGAACCGTTTTGACATGAGCCGGTAACCGTTATTTTTTTTCCGGTTCAGTTCCGGTTCGGGTTCATCGCGATAACAATATAACGGTTCGGGTTCGGGTTCAGTTCCGGAAAAAATACCGGTTCGGTTCCGGTTTTCGGTTCGGTTCGGTTCCGGTTCGACACCCTGATATATATATATATATATATATATATATATATATATATATTTCGATTCGTTTTAGCTTAGAGTGGAAATGGAAATTTCACGCAATAAAAAAGTTAAAAAATTAAAAAAAAACTCGTGAAGAGTGGATAGAGGCAAAGCAAACAAAATGCCAAATCTGTGAAGTGTCGCTGCCCTTCTGGAAATAGCTAATGCCAACACAAGCAACACATTTACCAACCAGCAAATACACACCGCAGCCGGGATCCTCGCAAAGCGTTTTTGTAGAAACCCTTCGAAAAAGGAGCTTCAGAGCTTTCAGCGTTCGCTTACTTATTTGTGCCACGTAACGCAGGCTTTTGTTCCCTATTCACCGAAGCAAATACACAGCTAGTGTTTGCACACGCCGCTACGCCGCGCCACAAGCGAGACCCCAGCATCCAGTTTCATCCACGCCGCTTTTGGATTGTCCTTTTTTGGCCGAGTTGTCGGTTTCGTAATCGAATTTCGTTCGCGTCCATTTGGACAATTGGTAGAGATACAACCGTAACAGCTCTTACACAACTCTGGACTAACGTTTATGCTGAAAATTATTTTTTATGTCTGTGTTTTTATTTGCGCCGTGTTCCTATAACCGGATACTTCAACCGAAAGTGTGAAGGCTTGTTCTTTTATGTCTGGTTGTACTGATTCGCCAGTGGTATTTCCTTTCACGTCTTTCCACACGTCAAACTCGAGCGCACTCTGGAATTTGTCATTTTGCGCTGCGACGTGATACGTTGAAACGATTTGTTCTGGAGGACGCTATTTCGGGGGATACTCCTTGTGCACTGCTCTTTCGAGGCATTTTCTGCAGCCGTCAATATAGTATCTTATATTTCATAGCACCACTGAAGTGCCTTTTTGTTTTTATACTTGTTTTACTCCGCTCAAATTTACCGAGGCCCCACGTTGGCACTATGCTTTTTATAGATTTGTTTTGAAAGAGTAACAACACTGTTCAGTAGAAACACAAAATAACATTCTATTATTAGTGTACTGAAAGTAATTTATAAGCAAACAAACGCCTACAACTAACGCTGACGAAACATCTTGGTATTAAAGCCTTTGGCATCATTTTGGAATTTAGTCATCGGCAGTGGCGGATTCATCATACAGGGTGATTTTTTTAGGATTTGCATATAAGTTTTAAAATGTCATGTAAGCTACACGGCAAGGGGGAGATGATGTAGGGCACTAATCGTCGCAATAAGTCGGATTATAAGCTAAAACTTGTATCTTAAATTTTTTATTTGGCAAAATAAATACATGATACCAGTCGAAAAAACCTTCAGGGCGTAGACGAAAGCACTCAATCAATACATTTACAAATACTTTGAGCGAATGAGAAGCACGGTTATTTTCGAATCAGCGATCCTTTTTCTACAATATAAATGAGGTTTGCTAAAAGGTTTGTTTGGACCGGTTGCTTGATGAACCGCTAGGGGTAACAAACGCAGCCTTCTTTCTGTCTTGGCGCAATGCTTATGCGGCTTTTGTCA